ATATGAAAGTTGGGATAAAGTAAAACGATGAATAACAAATTGTGAGTTCAATGAAAAACTGGTTGTACTGTTTCTCATCTTGTCAACTAAGTATAATGGGAAATTATAGCGATCATAGTAAGTAATAATAACATTTATACAGAAAAAACGATCGACCTTGTCCATTCTTAGAGCCAATTCTTACGATAAATTATTACAGGTAGGCATCGAATTTCCATCCATAAGGGATCATCAACGAGCCATTTTCTCACATTTTCCTCATTCCTCTTGTCAATTTTCTACTTTTCCTCTTACCTGTTTGATTGTTTAAGTAGTTGTCAAGTTTGTTGCTATTCTGAAGTTGGGATAAATATACAGTGAGTTTCATGTCATCCATTTTCGTAAATTGTCATCACTTTTTCACAATACAGATCGTTTATTGGCTGAAATTCGCCCAATTTTTAAGAATACGAACTTGCAATTATGTTGCATTTTTCATGCTTGTATTGAAGTTAGTTTATACTTTGTCTATTTTGTTTGCATATTTAGTTCATGGCACAGACACTGGAGCAATTAAGTCCTTCAACTTCAACTGATGATCCAAATAATGAGTTCACAAAGAGCGAAGAAGGCGCGGAAGAATTACCCGGTATTATTTCTGAACCACACAGTTTTCGGCACTACAGACCTCTTTTTTGTCTTGGAAAAGTGAGCTAATTTTCGATATCAATAAAGGAAGGGGTAAATTTACGTTCTTACGATGTGACTAACTTTATAATTATGGCTAAAACTTCCATGGGCGTTATTTGAAAACTCTTCACTATGCTCAGCGAACTTTTGAAATTTTTTATGTGGAGAAAACACTGAGAAGTTAATCATATTTATCTTCTAGGGAGGTTTTGCTCACTGTTACGCTGCTTTAGCTTCGCCATCTTTACTGGAAGTGGCATTAAAAATAGTGCCTAGAAGCCTGCTGAAGAAGCATTCTCGAATGGTAAAAATGCGCAATGAGATAGCAATTCACGAGTCCTTAAACCATCCAAATGTGGTCAAGTTTTTCTCGCATTTCGAAGATAACATCAATGTTTGCATGGTTCTTGAACTTTGTCGTTACGGATCCCTTCTTAGTCGCATCCAGAATGCACCTTGTTAGTTGTTTCTTTCGTTTGTTATGTGAAATATAAAGAATAAATTCGTGGTTTATTTTTTATTTTTGACTATTTATTGATTAATCAAAATAATTCCCGGTATTATCTCATTATTTTATATCAGGAAAATTATTAAATATTTTTGGCATGGTTTTTTTGAGAGTGATACTCTGTTGAGAACAAATTCATTGTATTATTTGATGCATGTGATTTTTTGCTTAATGCATTTACATGCATTGAAATTTTTTGTTGATGAAATATTATAATCGCACATAAATGTTTTCATTATTCAGATCCAACAAAGATTTTGTTCTTGAGATGAAAAGTATTGCATTAAAGTTTTCAGCTAGGAAGATTAATGTATTATTTTGGCTCATTTTTCCTTTATCAGTTTGCTTATTAAGAAGTTTTTAAAAAATGGCTAAGTCACTTTTTCTTGATTAGTTCCGCTGATGTAAATTTCAAAAAAACTTTTATGCACCAAGATAGTTGTCATTTTTGTTAATTTTCACTAGTAGACTCATTCCTATTTTAAATTTTCTGTTTTAAATCTTATCTTTTCAGGTGGACGATTGAGGGACCATAACGCCCGTCTTTATTTCCTACAGATTGTTGAAGCAGTTAGTTACTTGCATGGTGTAGGAATTTTGCATCGTGATCTCAAACCGGGCAATGTTCTTTTAAGTGACGTTGATAAGGTATAAATGATGATTACTTTTATTAGTTAACGAGATTTTTTTGAAAATAGGTCTAGTATGTGACAAATTTTGTACGGGAGCTGTCTAGCACATAGATGGTATATTCGTTTATTATACAGTTATGTTTTTTAAATAGTTGCAGAAGTACAGAAAGTATGTTGAACTTAACGAAAATTTGCCCTTATTTTTCTGTATTTCTCCTGCATTTTCTGGTTTTTCTCGAAATTGTGCTAAGATTTTAAATCGCAGGTAAAACTGGCAGATTTCGGTTTAGCTATAAAAGTAAGTGATCTGCCGTATAGCTCACTGAGTATTTGTGGAACACCAAATTACCTTTCTCCTGAGGTCAGTTTTTTCTTCGTTAAAGTTAGTCTTTAGACTAATTCAGCATCATCGCATTATTTTTGTGAATTTCCGAATGTCAAAAAGTGGTAGGTTTTTACACACGTTTCCTCATTTATTTCGTAGTTATTTCATAAATATGTTACATTTATTTCAGCAAGAATCAGATGTTTCGTTTAAAATGCTAATAATTTATTGCCTTGATAGTTGTTAGGCTTAAGAAAAACAATTGGTTAGGTAGAAGGTGTTCTCTAGTTAATATTATAATAATGACAAGGAAATAGAAATTCTGAACTTCATTGTTATTTCCTGCTACAGTGTTTACTTTTTTTATTTTCAACTCAAGAAGCCATTTCATAAATAATTGTTACCCAAATGTCATTTCATAAATATTTGTCTGTAATGAAGTCTCTTTCAGTGTAGGTAGTTTTTTCTCTAATTGTCATGTGATAACTTTTTTTGAAGTATATCGTGCACATGACTACTGCATGAATTTGCGAAATGGGAAAGAATTAATTATACTTTTAGAAATAAGCTCTTGCAGGTTCTTAAACGAGAAGGTCATTCGAAAGAGTCTGAAGCTTGGTCTCTTGGTTGTATGCTTTTTTGTATGTTAGTCGGCAAGCCGCCATTTGAAACTGAATCTTTAGCAAAAACTTACGCTAGAATCTCGTCATGTGATTTTTCCTTTCCGCTGCAGCTAAAAATCAATTCTCTCGCCGTGGATCTCATCTCAAAGTGTGTCATACTGTTTATGTCTTGAAAATTTTAATTATATTGCATTACTTAATTTTTCGTTCATACTTTTGTAAACTATTATGCGTTTCACACTATTCCTTAATATTCATAGAATTTTGTATGATTTTCTATAGCATACACTGCAAATCTTTTTAGGTTACTCGTTTTGGATGCGGCAAAAAGAATGAAAATAGATGCGATTATGGATCATGCGTATTTTGGTAATAATAAAGATACGACAAAGTTCGTCTTTTTAACGTTTAAATTATCATTGCCTTGCACTATCATTATTACTTTAAAGTGATTCATGCATGGTAGTGATTGCAATATAAACTTTTAATTCTTTTTATTATAATAGTAACTACTCCCTTTTGATTTCATGGTAGTTTTTATGCTGTTTGCAGTTGTCACTTTTCTTTTCATTGTTATTTCCTGCTCACATTTCTTTGTAATGAATCACTATACTTCAGATTACGTGAATTATTCTTAGCACATGGGAAAGAAAATGACCCGCTACAGTCATCTAAAGAAATGAATGTTAACCTAGTATATTTTTAATCTGTTTCTAGTCTTTAAGTGTTAACATCTTATCTTTCATGATTCTCTGAATTCAAAGTTTCCAATCTCTGATTTTTTTTAAATTCAGAGTTCTGGGCATCGTTACAGTATTGGTGGTTCGGGAATAGGGTCTGAGGGTTGTTCGAATGTTCGGTCACGATCCTTATCGTATTGTATAGCTTTATACAAGCAGTTGCTGTTAGGTTATTACACAGGTAATTGTAACTTCGTCACTTTTGTTACTTTTGTTATTTCTTTAAAACTAGTCCACATAATTTGGAAGGATGTCTCATATAGTATCACAAATTTCAAAGTATTCTTGAAACAGCGTCTTATGCTATAAGCTAATATATGTTGTAAATCTTGAAGTTGTTTTGAACAAATAAAATTAATTTAGTATTGGATGAAATACCTCGTTCATCTGATTTTCGATTGAATATGGTTAGCAAATGGGTAGATTATACAAACAAATATGGTTTTGGTTGTGTTTTAAGTGATAGTACTCATTGTACTTTGTTTATTGACAATTCATCGATTTCTCGCAGGTTATATTCAAGTTCATGATTCTCAGTCAATTCTTTGTGCTTACTTCGTTTCAGGAGATTTCCAGAAGCATCGTTTATTTTGATATGTTTGTAATTTGCTTATGATTGTTACCTGGAGACCAAGTAAGATATTGGATCTTTTTTCATTAATTTGGTATATTTATTTTAAATATGGACTTTTGCAGGCGTATTGCTGACTTTGCTACAGATCGATATTTGTTAATATCTGATACTACTCAGGAACCATGGAGTATTTCAGAATGGACCACTTTAGATTTGATTAAAGACCAGCAGCTGGCTAAGAAAGTTCGGCTTGCTGGACTTTTTAGGTCCTTTATTTTAGTCCTTTTATTGTTATGATTTCGATTGATTTTGCATGAATACAACCAAAAAATTATAATTTTTGAGTAAAACTTTTTCGACTCAAGGTTCGCATTTTTAGCTTTCATATTATTTAAATTTGGAATAATTTTTTGGTTAAGATCTCCACTTTTTTTCAATTTTTTATAGTGCGATATTTTATGCATTTAGACACAATTTGCAGTGATTATATGGATAGAGAGTTGCACCCTGTATACGAACATAATGGTTTACGCCACCAGCTCGATGCTTTGATCTATCAAAAGCGGCAAAGTGGAATGCTATTGATGTTTCTTGCCTCTGGAACCATTCAGGTAGTTATAGCTTACACATAACCATGAGTACCTCTTATTTATTCACCATCTTTTTGTTACTGAAAATCATTCATGTTTTACCTTCCTCCTTTTCAGTTTGAGGCATTTTTTTTCCATATTTTTTAGACATAAGGAGTTAGTTTGCGTGTAATGGTAAAACTTTAGAATTGTATTTCATAATTCTATCAACTATTAGAGCGAAAGAAAAGATATTTTTTTATAGATTAATTTTTTGGAATCACATGAAAAATTGGTCATAAGTCAGGATAAGCACAGTCGTTTATTGCTAACAGTGATTGATGGTTCCGTTGGCTTCCGTATTTTTCAGCTTGTTTTATGCGCATCAAAGCCTGTTCGTTCAGAATATCGTAGAATTCAGCATTTACTAAGTAAAGCTTGTATACTACTGGAGGACGGGCAGGTCTCCTCACAGCAAGCTTATTGTGGTACTGAATGCTAGATTTGTATTATTTTGTTTTCAAATTGAATTTGTTGATTGTTAATATCGAAGTACCATTTCTCCTTTTTCAATCTTTAATGTTATCGCAAGACATAAGAAACATCAGCAGGTGCACATTATTTGTTCCTTGTTCTTTTCTTTTTAACGTAATTTTTATCATTTCGTGTGGAATTTATTTTTTGAATATGCTATGCTTTATTTTTTTGTGATTTTTTTTTCTTATAAATAATCATTTCGGAGTAAAAGTAGAAGAGGATAAGTATGTTTCAGTGTCTTTTCAATATTTTGTGAAGCATTGTAAGAAGATTGAGTATTACTCATTTTATTAATCATCTTCTATTTAGAACGATACAGGTTATATTTTCGAATTCATAGCAGTAAATGAAGAAGCTTAGTAGATTAACAATCACATTATTCTCATTTACTTTTCGTTCTACCTTTTTTTTCCATTTTTCAATGCTGCCTTTACTAATTTCACTGCCATTGATATTTTTGCTGGGGTTTTTTCTTTTTTGTTTGCTGATCGGCTAGGCTTTGTTACTTGTTGTTGTCACTTAGAATTGCCTGAGGATGAATTTGCTCAGGTTCACGAATAAAGATTTTGGAATAGGATTTGGGAAATATTAATGCCAAATATGAAGCATGAAAACCAGAATTTGGTGGTAATTTTCATGACCTTCACTTTTTTAATTTTGTAATACCACTAGGAGTTTTCACTTTACTTTTCTTCCAGTTTTTAAAAATTTTGTATTTTCCACATCGTATTCCATGCAGTAATGAGTTCTCTCGTAATACATTCCTATCTTCACAATCCATAAATCTGTATTTCAGGTCTTCTTCACAGCATTAACGCTCATTCTAATGAGGAGAACTTTTTTTTTAATTTGACAAACATTCATTGCAAGTGAAAATGCGAAGAACTGTTTTCCCTCATCATTCGTTATGTAGGCTAGGATTTCATTTTATATACGTGTACAGTTTCGGTTGATCTTGTAATTTTTTACTTTTCTGACGTTTCTGTTCTCATTTGACATAAGCACTGTTTTTCATTATGGTTATTTGTTTTCTAATAAATAACGATATGTTGTACTTGTCAGCTGTATTATTTGCACAAAATGAAAAATTAAAAGCACTGTTGTCCACAAAAAATAAGTTTATCTTCGGTTATGCAATCTGTATAGTAATAATAATTTAGATGTAAGCCTTGCTCTCCTTCCTTGTGGTCTGCAGTCGTTATTGGTCTGTCGTTTGGAAGATTTCTAAAAAGCATAAAATTGGAGATTCATTGCAAGAGAATGATGCCAATGATTATTTAATAGGCGCCATCCTTCTTGTATACTTATTGTGTTCGTTCATTCTACTGGTGATTTTATACTAAATGAAGCTATAGTCCCTTGGTATCATCGTTAGTTTAAATTGCTTAAATTTTAATTTAGATTTTTTCTCTGTCTAAATTTAGTGTGCAGAATCACATGCAATTAGCATACGAAGTAGTTCAAAGTGGGGTCATTCGACTTTTACGCCTCGCAGTTTGTTATGCAATTGCTATATTTAGAACTTGAAGCTGCTCATTAGCACACAAGTAGTATTGCCGTAGTAACACTAAGTTAAGATCGTCAATGGAATTAATGTTTTCAGAGTTTTAATCATAACTTCTAATAATCACAGTTTCTGGAATTATTTTTGATATAAATTTCAAATTATTTTATTGCTGTTTGTTTCAAAACAAAACTCACTAATTTTTCAAAAACATGATTTGAATAATAAATCGAGAAGATACTGGTTACAGGGAAGTTATTGCTGATTACTACGCAAAAATTAGATCATGAAATAACAAACCCATCCTGTTTTACTTCTCTATTTTTACAACGATTAAAAGAAAACCAAGTCCTCGAAAAACTAATGTTTTTCCAGATAGATAAAACAAACTTGCGTTTCAAAAAAAAGTTTTATCTTGCTTATACTGTTGTGATTTTAGAATTAATACTAACGTATAGTCAGTATAATAATGGTTATTATTATTGTTATTATCAGAAAAATAATTATTCATTACTCGAACTGCAAAACATTATTAAGAAATATTAGAAAGAATGCAGTTTTATTTTGAATGATAAAGCTGAGTATGGATAAAGTACATATTTTAAATTTATAACACCACATCATATCAAAGTAATCTCAAACGTACTATAAATCTATATATTTGATTTTGGTAAAATATCGTATGCCTTCTTTGCAGAACAGATTCGTTCCTAAGAAGTGCATAAGTGATTGCTTATGAAATACAGCCATTTAAGTAGATCATTAAAGTTGCAGAACAGCTCTTTTCTCAGCACAAAAATGATAGATTAAATTTTTTTTGACATTAATTTTGCCAATGAGAAGCAAAAGAAATTGAATTCAGTAATTATTTATTTTCTGACTGAACTGATAATCAAGTAGAAAGTTTGTCAATTTCACAAATACTGCTTTCTGAACATATATATGGATTAGCAAAAAACTGAGAAGAATGCAGTTTTCATAAAGAAAATTCTTTGTCAGGTAATTAATCGAAGGGCAATGCTACTTCTCAGTAAACACTTGAAAATTGCATTGCTCAAAATTCTACGTCATTCCATTTAACTAGTCAACTTCACTCTCATGTGCATTCTTTTCAGTGAAAGATAATAAGTGTGATCATTTTTGGATTTTTGCAGTAAAAGAAAATAAAAAATACGGTGGAATCACTGGTCAGCAGATGCTATGCCAGAAAACCGACCTTCTAGCAATACAATGATAATAATATTAAAACAGCTAGTACGCGATTCTTTAGGATTTCTCTGTCTCTTCAACTGGTCCTAAAGTATGCCACTGAGCGATAGGTCTACGTGGGCTTGCAAGCATATCCATCCAGTGACGTAATTCTGCGCCTGTTGCTGAACAACCTAAGACACATCGACCGATGGCATCGTTTGAACCCAATTTATCATAATCCATCACAGTAATCATCAGTGATACTTTCTGAAACTGATCATTAAATACTTGTTGAGCCTGAATCTGAAAGGAAGTTTGCTTTTTCCTGACTATTGACAACCACGGACCCTGTAATAATACGCGTCATGTGAGCAAATAACAAACCAAATAAACAATCATTTACGAATGGCAATGCAGTGGCAACTGACGCTTTCTAACCAATAAATATTATTAGCTCACATAAACTGACTGTAAAATATTCCATAGCACTATGGTTTAAACTGGTATTTTGTTATTGCCAGAAATAAACTTTCCGAGTATTAATTAATAGAATCTATTAGTTGCTCAAAGATTAGAAACGTATCACAAATTATTCCAGTTTCAAAATGCCTAGCATGTAGTTTGTGTTCCTTTTTGCTGTATGACATTTTTATTGCACAACAGTCATGTCATGTAAAATATTTACAGTTCTTGCATGGTTTTTTTCACAATGAAGTCAAACATATAACGACACCTGAATTTGCTCGAATGGTACTTCGAAGGAGAAGGATTCATTGTAATATGGGTTCAGCGTGCATTTTTTAATACTAGTCTTCTTCTTTTTCAGACGTTTTCCACTTTGCAACAAAACAATCTTTACGTATGGATCTATAAAATAAAATTTTAATTATACAAATGTAACTTTTGCTAGCAACTGATTATCTTTATTCAAAGAACTAATTCTGATGAAGGATTTCAGTTTTACACAGCAATGATAATGTTTCGGTTATACTCTATGCTGACTACCTTAATTTGAACCATAAAAATTGTAAAAGTTATAAAATGAAAGTAGAAAACTTGCCCGATAATCCACCGACATCCATTTTTTTCAAGTTTTTTGCTTCCAAAATTACTACTGTAAGTTTACCAGCTGTTGGGACGTACCTCAATGAGAAGCAAATATCGCCCAAACTTTTGTCCTACATTAAATAAATATAAATATACCTTCTGTACAAAAAACAAAACTTGATAAAATGCGTTGATTCTGCAGAAATCTGACATGAAGAAATATCTCCAGGTGATCACATATTATTGAGTATAATTTGAAAACGAGTTGATTTTCTTTTTTTTACAAACAAATTATGTAAAAATTTTTGATTTAGAAATATAAATTTACAACTTTTCAAATATTTCTGTTTCCGGCACTAGAAAAGTATAAAAAATATAAATAATAAAAAGGGCCTTTTTGATATAATAATGAGCCACTAACAGCTTCCTTATCGTCAGGTGGTGGTGCGATATCTTTCCACTCTTCAATTACTTGTCCCAGGTCGATTTTTCCCAGAGGGATTAGTACCTGTCCAATCTGATCATGTTTCGAGAACCGATCAAAGTCATAAACAGCAAAAACAAGTGTCTTCGATGCTATCTCTGCAAACTGGACCTAAAAATAGTGAATTAATTAAAGTTCATCTCAACGCAACTACTGACATCTAAAATTTAAAAAGCAATGATATTGCAAATGCCTTAAATAAAAACGTTTCATTGAACACTGGATTAAGCGTTTTGCGGTGCACTTTCGTTTCTACTTTCTTCTTTTTTTCTGGTAGAAGATAAAGTTTCACATATGGATCTGATGTCCCACTCATATCCATTCCCGGAAGATCTTCTGCTTGGATTACTGTTACTGACAACTGTGAAAAAATTAAATGTATTATTGTAAAACAATTTTGATCGACTTTTGAAAATTATTGACAATAAATTAGAGTGAAGATTTGACAATAAATGATCTACTTCCATAACAAGAATGGTCTGCAATTAGTAAATTTTTCTTGCGATCTCCTACTAAGTACTGACTTTAGCAAAACTACCTTGAGATGTCGGATGCAAGAGATGACCTACTTTAATTACATAGTTTACTTTGTAGACTAATTATTAAATTTACAACTTTTCAAGTATTCTGTTTCCAGCATTAGAAAAAATATATATAAATAATGTTAAAACAGCCACTTGTGATAATAATATAAAAATAGTCATAACAGCCACTAACAGCTTTAAGAAATAATATTTGTTAGTATTCATTTTTTGTTATGAAACACAGCAAACGATTCAAACTTCAGCCTTAATTCAACAAAGTTAAATTTTGAGACGATATATCCAACAACTTAAAAAAAATACAGTCGAGAAATAAGTTGCGTGAAACAGTTTTACTGAAAAATTGTTTTTACAGAACTGTTATAAATTTTTGTTATTGATGAATTTTGGGATTAGCAATGAACTTGATGCAGTACAAAGCTATCAGTATTTCATTAAATTTCTCTGCAACTCTTTTGATTCAAAAAGCCAACAAAATAATTAGTTGACATGCATAACAGTATAAGATTTCAAGCATGTAAAAATGCATCACAGCTTTTTTAATTGAATGCAATAATTAGATGAAAATGTTGTTTAATAAATCTATTTTCTGAGACCAATATTAAAAGAAATTCTTAAAAATACCTGATTTTGTTGAAAATCATAATCCAGCTTATACTGCAGTCTTCCAAGCTTTATCTGAACAAAAACAAAGAGAATTGTTGCTTTTTCTTTGTCAAATGATTGCGCTCATTTACTTAAAGAAACAATAAAAAAGTTAGCTCTGTGATATTTTCAGAAATAAAAGCTCTCAAGATTTTGACAAATTAAGCACACAACTCGAAATTTGAAACACTTCTTTACTGATGTATATTTTGAAATTCAAGAAAAACATATCGGAAATTAAAAGTCTAAACTCATAAATACAGGAACAAAACGGTCGAAAAAGACTGTTTGCTTTATGAAAAACTTCAGAAGCGTGAAATCATTAATAAGTAACCTCTTCTTTCTCTTCTGCTTGTTCCTTTTCGTTTTGCTCCATATTTTCTGCTAACTGTTCAACATCAGACGCTAACTAAAAAAATATGAGTTAAATTTTGGTATAAAAAAAGATGTTGAATAGAAACTGATCAGATTAAAAGCTTTAGCATCAATACAAAAAAAGCACATAGCAATTATTATAAATATACTTATAAATATATTAATAAATAAATTTCTAAATAAATAAATAAATAAATAAATAAATAAATATATATATATATATA